TACCGCGATGTGTGGGCACATGTCCTGTCCCCCCCAGACCCGAGCCCCGGAGGACAGGAGGTCCCCGGGCCCCAGCGTCTGCGGTGAGGCTGTGGCCAGGACGCCGCCAGGCCCCTCGGGTTCTGCAGGACAGAGACGGGCTGTTGCGCACACGTGTGGGTGCGTGTGCGTGTGTCTATGTGTGCGCGCGCGCGTGCGTGTGTGTGCGTGTGCACGGGCATGGGCGTGTGTGTGCGCGTGTGTCTGTGTGCATGTGTGTGTGTGCGTGTGCACGGGCGTGCGTGCACGGGCGTGCGTGCATGTGGTGTCTGGCTTCTAGAATGAGCTGCTCTCGCTCTCAGGAAGAAGGGAGCTAGGTTTTCCTCATCTTCGTTGTTAGCGAGTCTCTGAGACTTTTCCTCACGAAATGATTTGTCTAGAAAACAGTCCACAGCACCAACAGGCGGGTGGGTGTCTGCTGGGCACGGGGACTTTCAAAAGGCAACAGCCTCGTTTTCGCCAACAAAGGCGACTTTTCAGAAGGGGTGGCTTCCAGAGGCCGCTTCGCGCGGACGGAGAGTGTGGGCACCAGGCCGCACTGGCCCAGACGGTGCCGATCCTCCGGTGCGCGGGGATCTGCATGGAGGCCCCGGCCCTCGCGGGGGGCTCAGGCCAGAGAGGTCCCAACTCTCTCCCATTAACCTGTGAATCCGGGCAATGCCCATGGAATTCTCTTCAGGACTCAGATGCCCTGAGACTCACGTGGGGGGATCGGGGTCCCCGAGGAGCTACTCCAGCGTCACAGGAGACGAGCAGAGCCGACGGCCCCCTGAGGCGAGAGGACGTCTGCCAGGTGCAGGGGGAGAGCAGGGGGTGCTGGCCAAGCTCTGGGCTGGGGCCGGCAGGGCGCCTCTCTCTCACTGGCTGGAGCAAGCTCAGTGTCCCTGCTGCCGAAGGAGATGCCCCCAAGTCCTATGTGTCCCTGGACAATGCACCCCTTTTGCTAGGCCCTGGTCTGCCCTCCTCCCCCGTTTCTCTCCAACTGGGGACCTCGTGTGGTGGGGTGCAGCCCCTCACACTGGCCCGGAGGACTATCCAGGGATCTGGGGGGCACGTCCTCCCCTTGGGGTGTAACCAGCAGCCCCAGGGCCCAGGCAGCGGGAGGCGTGGCCCGATGTCTGGCTCTGACGGGCTGTGACTGCACTCCCCACCCGTGAAACTCGGATAACAGACGCCGCCCGCGGGGCTGGCCCAGAGCCGCTTCTCCCCTCCACAGCGAGTGCCCACGACTGGCTCATTCTGGAATATTCTGGAAACCAGAGGCAGGAGGGCAGATCCTCAGGCCCCTCGCCGATCCCCTGGGTATAGATGCGAATGGGGCTCCGGCTGGGCTCTCCCGAGTCCCCGGGGCCAGACCATCCCAGCAGGGGGCCCGGGGCGGGTGGGGGGATGTGGGCGGCTCAGGGGGCGCCTGGGGGGCCCCGGGGGAAGGACACACCCTTGGGGATCCTGTCGCTGTCATGGGTCCCGAGTCCCTCGGAAGTGGACGTCACTGGGATTGAGAAACAGCCAGGGTTCGGCTGACTTCCCTCTCGCCAGGCTCAAGGTCGAAGGCCAGAGACCATGGGGCTGTGCGGGGCCACCCTGGCCCTGGGGCCCGGCCAGCTGCTCCTGCTCCTGACCTTCAAGGCCCTGGCGGCCCAGACGGCCGACACCTGCCCAGGTGAGATGGACCGGAGCCTTCCGGTCTCTGGCAGCGGCCAATGCCACCCACTGAGCCTGCACAGCGCGGGCAGGCCCACCTCCACGCGCCTCCTTCCCAAGATGCTCCGCTGCCGGCTTAGCCTCAGGCGGGCAGGTGGCCATGGCCACCCGGGTGGAAGGAGAGGGGTCCAGGCCGACCTGTCTGACCCTCAAGCCCCGGGCGGCCCCGCAGAGCGAGGCAGGGCTGCCCGGCCATGGAAAGAGGAACAGCCCTTCGCCCCGTATTCTCAGGGCTTCCCGGGGGGCGCCCGAAGACTCTCTAACCCAGGGGCACCCCACCTCCTGGGGGCTGGTTAATTCCAGTTTCGGGCCCCAACCACAGAGTCCGACTCAGGAAACTCGGGTGCGAATGGGAGCGGGGCCTCCCTCCCGGTCCGGAGCCGGCGACTGGGCACAGCTGGGGAGAGACTATACTGACCACAGCCCGGCCGCCAAGGTGACGACGCACGGATGGAGGCAGCTTCTGGGTGGGCAGAGCAGAGAGAGGGGCCCCTGAAAACCGGTAGCGGGGGACCGGGAGGCGGCGGGTTTCCGGATCCCCACACCCTCCCTAGAGGCCGTGTATTTGTGACGGACGCACTTGAACTCTGAGAGGCAGGTGCATCTCTGGCTCCAGTTCTGGGGGGGCTGCTGTGTGTCCTGGGATCACAGGGACCCCCACCATCCGCACCCTCCAGCCCGGGATTCCCAGGTCACGTGCCCGGGAAATGGGGGTGACACGTGGCACTGCCCCCGTCCCCGCTGTCACAGATGCGGGGGCTGCACTCACTGGACGGGCCGCAGTGCGGGGAGCCTTTCCTAAGGTCTCACACATTTGCATCGGCCACTCTGACACCCAAAGCCTCCCGCTGCTCTCACTCTGCAGCCGGGCACAGAGCCCAGAGGGGCTGAGTGACTCCTGAGGACACACAGCCTGAGGAGCGGGGTTCCCCAGGGGCCGGTGGACCCCGAGGCCGGGCCCATCACCTGGGGGAGGACCGACCACAGGCTCAGCAGAGGCGGGACCGCCTCCCCTCCAGGCTGGCCCTCCAGCTGAGGCAGGCGGCCCGGGCACAGCCATCTGCCAGGCCTTGGTCCCCACGGTGGCAGGTCCCTCGGGGGGTGGGGGGAG